CACTTTTTAATGAAATTTATCTGTTTTTAATTTTATTTTTATTTATCTAGCTATTATTATAATTATTATTATTATTGTTATTATTATTATTATTGTTGTTGTTTTTATTATTGTTTTTGTTGTTTTTATTATTATTATTATTACATTTATTTTTATGAAGGCGTTGTGTGCTGTGTGATTCTCGTTTTTGTTTTTTCTACATTGATTATTATAAAAATAAATGTTGGATGAATGAATGAATGAATGAATGAATAAATGAATGAATGAATGAATGAATGAATGAATAAATGAATGAACGAACGAACGAACGAACGAACGAACGAACGAACGAACGAACGAACGAACAAACGAATGAATGATAAAAAATGAATAAATAAAATAAGTAGCAATATTATAGTACTTATGCCCAATAGAAACTTTTACGAAATGGCGATTTCATATACGGTCAACCATACACAACCAGTCAATCAATCTATGGCAAATCACAATCAAACAATCAGCCACACAGCCTCAACCGACCAGCCAACTAAACAAACAACCAACAAACCAGCCAACCAATCAACTAACCAGACAAACAACCAACCAACACACCAGCCAACCAACCAACCAACCAGCCAACCAGCCAAGCAGCCAAGCGACCAACCAACCGATGGTCTTGTAGAGTGATTGACAGATGATAGCCAGTAGTGTAATTGTTGTGAGATCTCCGAGACTAGCTGCGATTGGTGTGGCAACGTTGTCTGGGTTGATGTGGAACCGCCGAGAAAATAGCACCACACCAACCATCAAAGAACCTACGTTATCACGATGACGATGTCGTGATTATAATTAATATAATTATTTTTATATTATTATTATTATATTATTATTGTATTATTATTATTACGTTATTATTATTTTTACAATAAAATGTTATTCAATCAGTAACTGCTACCAGCTCAGCGTTAGCGACTTTAAATTACAAAAAATTTCCAGCACTCGCTCTTGTAACTTCAGACCGCGGAAAAAGTATAGGCAATAAATAATTGAAATATTATATTACTCCCTCTCTCTCTTTCTCTTTCTTTCTCTCTCTCTCTCTCTTTCTTTCTCTCTCTCTATCTCTATGTATCTCTTTTTATCTCTTTTCTCTCTTACTCTCTCTCTCCTTCAATTCTTCCAACTCCTCTCATATATATGTATATACATTTACCTCGTTCTCTCTATACCTCTCTCTCTCTTTCTCTCTCTTTCTCTTTCACATTTTTATGATTTTTCTCTGCAAGTCTCTTTTTTTCTTTCTTTCTCTCATTTTTTTCTCCCTCTCTCTTTCTCTCTCTCTCTCTTTCTCTCTCTCTCTCTCTCTCTCTCTCTCTCTTCCTCTCTTCTCGTATTTATTTTATTTCATCGTGTTATCTTTCGTACTATTTTTCAATATAAAAATCGTTTGACAGGGCGTAATGTCATAGGCAACAAATGCAAAAAGTTGTAAGCAACGAATAGTAACAAACAACAACAACACGGCATATAACATCCGTTACAACACACACACACCACACATACATACACATACACACACACACACAAACCACACACATACACCACACACACACACACACACACACACACACACACACATCACACACAAAGCCATAGATAATATAAAACCATAAAAACAATAAAAAAAAATATAAATATTTAAAAAGTTCGGTCTCAATACACAATAACAACAAAAACCACACTAACACCATTACACAACACAAATGCAACGAACGACCACCACACACCATAACACGCCACAAAAACAACACACCGCAACACACTAACACACACACAGGCCACACACCTAGTATGAGAGTAGCGAGAACTGCAGTTAGAACGCTGCCAGCGCACATGAGAAAACCATGCATAACGTGTAACTTTCCTGACGGAATCCAGCCGAGAAGGATGGCAAAGATGGAAGCTAATAAACCCACCACTATCGCTTGTACCTGTGTGTGTGTGTGTGTATATGTGTGTGTGTGTTTGTGTATGTGTGTGTGTGTTGTGTGTGTGTTTGTGTGTGTGTGTGTGTGTGTGTTGTGTGTGTGTGTTTGTGTGTTGGTGTTTGTTTGTGTGTGTGTGTGTTTGTGTCTTCAAAGCACTCCCTCAAAATTGGCTGGTAGGTTTTTAACTTCTTCATATAAGAAGAAGTTAAAAACGCTTGAATGGTTTTGTTAATTTTTTTTCAAATATTTAAAATAAAAAATAAAATAAATTAAATAATTATATTCCGAATTCAAAATATAAAAATTCTCATAGATACCAGGCCAGACTTACTTAATCGTCATAACATATAACAAAACGCTTACAAAAACAACACACATACACACAGACAAACACATACACTGACACACACACACACAATTAGGATAACTACTCTGATGAATTTTTGACACTGACACACACACACATTCACTAAAAAATTAGGATAACTACTCTGATGAATTTTTGCTATATAGACCGACAGACATGTCTCTAGACGAACGAAATGGACAAATATAATAAATATTTTACAGATGAAACTCTAACTTCACGCCAAAATTGAAATTATGATACCGTTAAAAAACCACAAACTATATATATATATATATATATAAATATACATATGTAATATAAATGAAATAATAAATAAAATAATAATGTAAATAATAAAAAATAAAATAATAAAATGATACCTGTGTTAGAGCCAAGTTTCCGTATATCATTCTCCATTGCTCCTTCTTACAGTCCATATTGCCGAGGTTGGCCTTAAAAATTTTTTATGAATTATATTTATTAATTATTATAATTATATACAATTGTTATAATTTAATTGGTCTAAAGAATGAATAAATGAATGAATGAATGACTGAATGAATGAATGGATGAACAGGTGGATTGATGAATGGATGAATGGTGGATTGATAAATGAATGAATGGCTCAGTTACATATATACACACACACACTCACACCAACATACACAAAGTCAGATATACAACAGACATATACATCAAAACAAGACAATCTTTTATTCAGCAAAATATCAAAATAATAATAATATACATCCAGACAAACATACACCCAGACACAGACAAACATACACTCAGACACAGACAAACATACACACGTACACAAACAGACATACAGGCAAACAACATATACATCCAGATAAACACACACACACACACACACATACACAGACAGACAGACAGACATAAAAACAGACTTGCGTAGATAGTCTAGACGCCAGAGTCATTTCTAGATTACCTTTCAACCCCAACAGGGCAGGTACCAGTATGAAGACCTCCGTAATGTTCTTGAAGACATCCCAATCCTTAAAAATGCGTCGTGTGGTGTGTATAAAAAAGAGTGTGGCGTGTGTATAAAAAGAAGGTGTGTGTGTGTGTGTTTGTGTGTGTGTATGAGAAAGAGAGAGAGAAAAAGAGAGAGAGAGAGAGAGAAAATATATATGTTGTGTGTAAATAGATACGGTATAAAACGAGGTATAGACAGTTAGATGGAGTTGTAAGATGGAGTGTTTAGTAATGTGTTAACTTCCGTGATGTCTATTAGAAAAGTTATGTGATTGAATGAGTGTGTGTGTGTGTGTTTGTGTGTGTGTGTTTGTGTGCGTGTGTGCAAACGACAGAACAAAATAAAATAATGAAAGAAGATGATTGTAACTATCTATCTGGTCTGGTTAATAATTTAGTGAAGAAAAGCCCATACGAATATTTATTTATCAATATCGAGATTCGTCTTAGCATTGTAACTTTAATCTTTAGCCACACGGTCTGTTCATCATCCTATTTTTGTTATCATTATTGTCATCATAAGATAATAATAAAAATAATAATAACAAAATAATAATAACTAATAACCATCCATATCACCATTGTCCTCATCATCTTTTTATGTCGCCATCATCATCAACATCGTCGTCATCATAACAAAAATGGTGAAATAACTTTTAGGCTTTTGCAAATTATCGATAAATTTGCTAAGGTAATGCAAACGATTTTATTGGATGTTTTAATCAGCCGACTGGTAATAAGCGAAATCGTGTTTTCTTTTGTTTTCGTTGTTGTTGTTATTTGTTGTTGTTGTTGTTTGTTTGTTGTTGTTGCTGCTGCTGCTGCTGTTGTTGTTATAACACCCGATACGGTTATTTGGTTGCTTCTTCTTCATTATTGTTAGTTAGTTGCAGAGTTGTTTCAACATCAAACAGCAAAATTTGTGTGTAATTCACTAAGATATCATATAAATTTTCCCAAATTGACAAATAATTGAAGAAAATATTATAGTAAATATATCAATATTGTCGGCTGGAAAATAAAATAACATTCAACTCAACTGAAAATAATAAAAACAATAAAAACATAAAATAATAATAATAAGTAGTCTAATAAGGATAATAAATAATAAACGAACCACTTTGAGTGCACGAACGATCAAATTTTAAAAGAAAAATTTTTTTTTCATTAACATAATACTGAGAATTACAATAAGGATAATGGCCAAAAAGTGTTGATTAAAACTGTAACAGTGATGGACAAATTTGTACTGACAATAGCTTAAATTGTTTTAATGTTTCAAAACCCAATTGGTACGATCATTTTATAGTTAGGTTTAATGTAAAGCATGTACACCTAAAAATAAGTATAACCAGATAAAACATGAATTTGACTAAACTCGTGTGTGTGTGTGTGTGTGTGTGTGTGTGTGGTGTGTGTGTGTACATGTGTGTGTAAGTGTGTCTCACGTTAATACTTTAATTATTTTTTAAATTATTTCATTGAAAAATGGGCGCAATGGCTTGTTCATTATTTAATGAACACGAATAGAGCCATTGAATTCTAAAGTACGAGGAAAACTAATTAAGAAGTTAATTAGATATCGTGATCGTGATTCATTCAAATTACGCAATATAGAAACCAAAAACGAAAAGAGAGAGATAGAGAGAGAGATAGAGAGAGAGAGAGAGAGAGAGAGAGAGAGAGAGAGAGAGAGAGAGAGAGAGAAGGGTGATCAAAATTGTGAAAAGCGAATGAAAAAAAAAACTTTTAAAGTGTTATCGTCATCAAGCATAACTTCATCAAAACTCAAAATATGTGACTCAACCATAGAAGCTAATCGTCTTCATTGTATTTAAAATATATTTATATTATCATTTCAGGCAGTTAAAATACTAAATATTTATAAAAATAATCAATGCATGAAAAGTTTACACTTGTTGATAACAAACAATGAAATAAACAAGCAAACAAGCAAATGGCAAACAAACAAACCCCTGAACGTCCTGAGAAAACATGAAAGTGAATTTAAACAATTCAACAATCACCTTGACTAAATCGAGAACAATCCCAGCAAAGACGCATCCGAAGCCAGCCAGGTAGAAGGGCAGGACGATCTCTCCAATGAACCTGAGAGCAGATTCGTTGGAGGAATCATCAAGAAGTGGTAGTGTGTCACCGGGTGCAGGCGAGGGACAGAAATCCCTTGAGCTACCGGATATGCTTAATTTATCCTTGTTGTCATCTTGGCCAGGAATGCTAAGATTGTTGTTGTTGTTTGGGAGCGGTGTTTGATTGGTTAGGAGGACTAGAGATTGGTTCGTTGATGCTGACCCTCCTGTCGTATCGGTAGTAGATGTTTTCCTGCTGGTGTTGTTGTTAAGAATGGTGCCATCAAGAACCTCCGAATCTGTCGCAGTGATCGATTTCATTTTTGGAGTTGTTGAACCGTCACTGCCGTCTTTGTTGTCAGCGGATTTTTCAGATCCAGGATCATAATACGGATTCACGATGCCCGGGTGGGATTTCATTGGTTTATTTTGCTGCTCTGCAGGCCGATCCAGTTTTTTGCCTGGTTGGTTCACAACTTTACCCTGTGTATTTGTATTGGCGTCTTCCATTGTTCCGTAGTTTTTCTGGTCGCTGAGGTTTTTATCCATTTAAAGAAGGTTGAAGACGAAACAAGCATATGGACGCAAGGGATTTAAGCTTCACTTTTATAACTTTATTGCACGATGTTTGTAGAAATAATAACAGGACAGAGTCACTTCATGAACACCACACATCAGCATTTGGAATCGTGAAAACTTCCATTATATTATTAAGTAAATAATCTCCCAATAAGACAAACATCTTCGAAACTCGTCAATTTTTTATTCCTAACATTTTTAAAAACCTAAATTTAAAATTATAGATAAAGCAAACATACGCAATGAACAACAATTCATTCCGAACATCTTCCAAGCCATACAGATGCAAGATGAGCAGGAGGCAGAGGAGAGTAAATATTCATCTCACGTTCCACATTTATTCTACTTGTTGTACAGTGCTGTGTCCAAGCAAACATGCCATATATATTCATAAGTCTGTACGATACCTATATATGTATATATATATATATATATATATATATATGTATATATATATATATATATATACAAACATACATACATACAAATATACATACATATAGCTCAGTGAAGCGCATACTGCAAACATAAGGTAATTGGATTTTTAATATAGCTTAATATATACGATGAAATCACACGATCTTCAATATGCATGAATGTGCGGTTTATGTATAACAATATGCTATATTCTGTTTTATGTATGTATTTGTGTGTATGTGTGCATGTATGTATGTATTCATGTATCTATGTATGTTTAAGTATATATTTATATTAAATGCTATACGATATATTATTGTAAATCTTATATTAAATTTCATAGAAAATGTATATATATATACGCATACAAAAGGTATGTGAGTACGGATATATAATGGTATATATGGATACCGTATGTGTGTTTATGCGTGAATGTGCGTGTATGTGTGTGCGTGTGTATGACTGTGTGTGTGTATGCGTGTGCGTGTATGTAGTTTTAATAGGTGGGTACAAATGCATGACGGTGCAGCGGTTTATGCCAGCAATAAACATTCATTACAAACATGCATTCTTTTTACATCTTCCTAATCACGCACAAATATATATGTATATATATATGTGTGTGTGTGTTTGTGTGTATAAATAAAAACAGAAAAAAACAGAAAAAACAGAGACAGAGAGAGAAAGAGAGAGAGAGAGAGAGAGAGAGAGAGAGATAGAAAGATGGAAAAAAATGATATCTATATGCATTGTATATATACATGTGTGTTTGTGTGTGTGTGTGTTTGTACATACAAGTATGCACATCTTTGCGGATAAATTTATTTTTTAACCTGCCATAACAACAAATTTGAATCTTCTTGCGAAAGGCAGATATGAGAAATATTACAACCATTGAATGTGTCATTTACCAGAAAGAATCTTCATATATCAATAAATAAAAAACTTACATACGTACACATCCACACACGTACACACAGAGACACACAGACACGTACACGCACACACACATATACACACACAAACATACATATAAAGCTCCCGTAAACAAAAGTATAAAATCAATTAAAAAAAGAAGAAAATCTAATAATGAGAAACTTTCTAGTGAAGGAATAAAATGCAAATCATTATTATTGACGATAACGTCAGAGGTAGTAGTTAAAGTGATGGGATGAAACTTTATTATTTGATTACGAGGTGAGCATGGGAACAGGGATCGCGGGAATCCCGTGGGAATTAGTGAAACCTAATTTTTGGGATTGGAAATTTTAGGAAATAAGGAATTGCTGTTTGGGAATCGAGAATGATGGACGGAATGGAAAAAACGACATATACACGCAACAATTTAGAAAAATTAAATTTGCGACAAGCATGCAACGAATATGCAACATACCAGATTTGACTGACGACAACTAATCATGATGTGATGGTGTTTGATGTAGATTTTTTTTTTACAAGCACTAGTTTGTTTGTTCGTTCGTTCGTTCTTTCTATCGTTCATTTGTTTGCTTATTCATTTTTCATTCGTTCATCTATTCATTAGGTTGGTTATCCATTTGTTCATTCATTCATCCATCGATTTGTTTATTATCTTATCCACTCATTCGTTCATTCCTCCATCTATTAATTCATCCCTCCACTTATTTATTAATTCATTCATCCATTCATTCATTCGTTTCAATTTAATCCATCCATCATTCATTCTTTTATTAAACTTGTTCATTATTAATTCATCTCATCTAACGACTGACGCAAACACGTTTCATCGACTAAACCATTCACATGTTGTTTCCCCATTGCAAGATGTAACGTGTTTGCAACGTTCGACTTCTCAACCTATTATTATTATTATTATTATTATCCATGATTTTATTTAAATTTTATTTTAATTTAATTTAATTTTAATCATGACTATTTCTCTATTAATTAACTAATTATTGACTTTACGCATTTGATGAAAAATAAAAGATCTGTTCCCATTATTATCATCATCTTTATTATTATTATTATTATCATTATTATCATTATTATTGACTCCTCAACAAAATTAACTCGTGTAGGCAATTATTTGAGTCTTCTGACCGGTCAATTATCGATCATTTCACCGGGTTATTTTTACAAAATTTTACTTTATATTATTTAGATTATATCTATCAACGTTAACAAATTCATATTACTACTACTAAAGCTACTGCAACTGTTACTACTGCTATTGCTGGTATTATTATTATTATTATTATTGTTGTTTTGTATATTGCTTTTATTGAAGATGTTTATTTATTTCAGATTAACAAGCGTTGAATGCATATTCTTGATCCCTAATCCACGTTTGACAGATTTGCACATTGTTGGTGTGTTTTTTTTTGGGGGGGGGGGGGAATAATTATCGCTATCCTCACCACTCACATCACCATTTCTTCATCATAGCTGCTATGTCATTTCCATCATCATCATTATCACCACCGTCACCATCAACTTTGTAGCCCTCGCCATCATCGTCGTCATCACCACGATCCATTTTCAAGGCATCATGCTATGTATCATTATCATGCTATGTATCATTATCATGCTATGTATCATTATCATGCTATGTATCATTATCATGCTATGTATCATTATCATGCTATGTATCATTATCATGCTATGTATCATTATCTTCGCCCTCATCCTTGATAAGTGCGTCGTCATCATTATCATATCACCATCGTAATCGAAGTCGTCGTCTTCATCATCGTCACCCTTGACTTTTGTATTATATTCCCTCAAATTGCATCTTTAAATCTATTTTTCATCATTTTTTTTCATTCATTTTCACTTTCTTCATTTTCAATTACGAAACCATCCAATCAGATCGCGATGACAATTAAATTGAAAAATTTACATAAAATAATATTAAGCTGTTTAAATCTTATATCACGATTACACACACACACGCACGCATGCACGCATACACACACGCACGCACACGTCTAAAAAATTAATTGAAATATTTCAGGTATCAAGTTTTGAAGTATTTTCTGTATAACATCTGCCGTACTTCCCTTAGATTAGCTGTTTATGGAAAGAAATAATACATACATAGTTCAGATACATACATACACACATACTTACGCATACATACATACATACATGCATGCATGCATACATACAAACATACATACATACACGCACACTCACATTGTGCAAAAATTGTTTTATCAAATTTATAATATTTAGCCAAACACACACACATACACACACATACACATATCTCTTTCTCTGCGGATATATATATATATATATATATATATGTGTGTGTGTGTGTGTGTGTGTGTGTGCATGTATGTGTTTTATTCAATATATACAAAACAGCTATTAGTTTTTATATTTATTTGAGCAATTTCTTTTATATGGCAAACATTTACTTAGCCGCGAGCAACGGTATATTATTGTGTATGGATGTGCATTTTGTTTGGCCTGTGTGCGTGTGTGTGTCAGTGGGTGGGCAAATATAAGTGTGGGCATTTGTTTGAGATTTAATGATTACAATTAGGATGACGTCAGGTTAATATTTTGTGATACATACATTTGTATTACTGTGTATATGCGTGTATATATGCAGTAATTTAAAAATCTTCGGAATTTCTAGCGTTGGGTAGTTTTTTATTACATTTCTCAATATATCTAACCAAATTTTTTATTTGTTGCTCTTCATTTAGTTGTAGCTTGTTTGTTGAAAACTCCTTTGTCTGGTGCTATTTGTCTCATGTTTGTTGCAAATTTGTTGCGTGTCTGTTCTGATAATTTACCTATTCAGGTAAAAAACAATTCAATTTAGTTCAGGTGTTCAAACCATCAAGAGTAGCTGTGCAGCTGCAGTAGCAGTAGTAGAAAGAACACGCAGACCAACCGGTATTGATCGTAAATAACAAAAACACTTAAGGTTGACAAAATCGAAGTAATTTTCAACTGCATAGATATACGCAAGCATGCATTCCTTCAACTTTTAACGAAGCGATATCTGCGCACTGACATCTTCAACGTCGTCGTCGTCGTCATCATCGTAACATATTTCCTTCAGTTTCTCAAATAATTGTCGTCACAAATATTATTTTAGGAAAGCAAACGTCATCAACATAAGAAAACATAAGCACAAAAGCCAACAAACAATTTCTTCACTGCACTCCACGGCACTCCACTCCATACAAGCATGCAGAGTGCAGGTGCAGGGCATCTTGAGTCAAGAGTGTCCCATAAAACGATGTACAACAATGATGTGCTGCATACGCTTGCTTTTCTTCACACGTTATTATTAAAAATATATAAACTATCCTTGGTGGCTAGCCAACAAGCTAATGAGGAAAACCCAAATTGAATATATGGGGATGAACAAGAAGAGTCTGTGTACAATGATAAAAATAGCCAAACAGACGCAAAAACATGCATACAAACAAAGAAACACACACACACAAACACACACACATACATACATGCATACAACAACAAAAAACAAGTTCATTACAAATAAAAGGTGAAGAAGCAAAAAAAACCTCATAAAAAAAGAACCAACCCAACCAATAGGTAGCACACCTGTCCTGAAGTTCTTACATAAAGACACACGCCAACTCCTACAAAGGATACACGCACACAAGCAAACACTCGCAAAAAACACACATGCAAACAAAATTAGTAACACAGGCACACATACAAACATTCAAACAATCAAGCAAGCAGAAAAACAAACTGGAACGCAAAATATAGAACACAAAGGCACACGCACACACTCGTACAAAAAATAAACCCCAAAAACGCATTACCTATTCATACGCGTCTGCACCACAATCACGTGCTCACTGCAACCTGAAGCGTACAAATCAGCATGTACACACGCACGTACACACACACACGCACGTACACACACACACACACACACACAAACAACAGCAACTATTGATTGTCTCACCTACAACCACCTATCGCTTAGGTGTTGACGCGCCACACAAGCCATGCATATGTATTTGTACATATGTGGATATATACGTTTGTATTCATACGTATTAGTACAATTCACATACATACGCGTGTGTACGTGTGTATTATATTCAATTGTAGGCATACCTACACACATACTTACATACATACATACATACATACATACATACATACATACATACATACATACATACATACATACATACATACATACATACATACATACATACATGCATGCATGCATGCATGCATGCATGCATGTATGTATGTACAAGTTCTGCCGAGGAACCATAGGTACTAACTTGCAGTTTCAGTTGGGTTTTAAGGAGTTTGTGGTAGCTATTGTGGTAGCTGTTGTGGCTGCTTTTGTTTTTAATTCAATGATAATAGCAAAAACGAAACAGCAAAAAGTTAATTCAGCAGCAGCAGTAGTAGCAGCAGCAGCAATAATAGTAGCAGCAGCACCAATAATAGTAGCAGCGGCAATAGTGGTAGTAGAGGCAGTAGTAGTAGCAGCAGCAATAGTAGTAGCAGCAGCAATAGTAGTAGCAGCAGCAATAGTAGTAGTAGCAGCAGTAGCAGAGGTAGTAGCAGCAGCAATAGTAGTAGTGGAAGCAGTAGTAGCAGTAGTAGTAGTAGTAGCAGCAGCAGCAGCAGTTGTAACGAGTTCTAATCATAAAAAATCAAATCTGACTTGACAGAAGATGAACAAACACGCCATGCCTAATACGCAATACGCCGTGCTGTACTGACTGTACAGACGTAAAAATAAGTGTACGTTTGCGCGTAAGGTGCCCGTACTAACTGTACAAACAAATGATTGTACGTTTATCAGTACTGTAATGTACATGCATTTTACATGTATAATTCAAAATCCTATATACTTTAATAGCATTTGCATAGTACAAAATACAAAGTGTTAATACTATACGTATTAACAAGGTATCTAGGTGTGATATATACGTTAGGAAGGCACCTTAGTTGGTGTGCAAAAACTGATGGAATAGAGAGAAAAAAAAATCTCCAAGAAGGATGTAGAGTTAAGTAGTTGTGTGTGTGAGTGCGTGTGTTTGTTTGTATTCTACTCAAAGATGTTTTTTTATGATGGTAGGGAAAAACAAAATCTGATGGATAAATGGAATGAATTGATCTATAGGCTGGTAGGCGACGAACATATATTATCGTACTGGCTGAATGAATGAATGAATGAATGAACGAACGAACGAACGAGCAAACAAACAAATAAACAAACGAATATATGAATTAACAAATGAATAAATGTAAAATTATTATACTTAACCTACGTTCGCTCGTTTTATTGTTCATCCGTATATTCGATGGTACATTCATTCATCGTTTAATTAGTTTGGTCATTCGTTTGTATGCTTGTTCGTTTATTCATTCATTTATTTATTTTTATATTAATTAATTAATTCATTCATTCATTCATTCAAACAAATTTTGGCGTGTAACGACATGACAAACACACAAACAATAAAAATTTACTTATTTATTTGTATTGAATGGCTGCATGAACAGCACATAGTGCAGTATTTTGTGTGTTGTGTGTGTTGTGTGTGTGTGTGGTTGCACAATTTCTTCAAGCATACAAAACATTATTTCAATTTCAGAAAGCATTTTATCGACGATATATAACATAGGTTATGTAATATGGCAAACGAAATGAAGTAATGACGATGGAATGAACAAACGATCGAACAAACGAATTTATGAATGAATGAATAAACCAACGAACGAATGAATGAACGACAAATGAACGAATGAATGGGTGGACATTTATATTAGGCTAATGCACAATCACAAAAATGACTACTCCTTCCAATGTATTATATATTTAATGATGACATTCTGGCAATTTTGAAAATGATTTCAACAATAACAGAAACAGCACATACAATTCTACATATGCTAACTTGATTACTCTAACCACAGTTTATTATCAGAGAGAGAGAGGGGATAGAAAGAGAGAGAGAGGAGAGAGAGAGAAAGATGGAAAAAAATTGACATTCATTTAAAAGAGTCGTTATTCAACACCACCTAGCCCAGGCTTTGAAAGAAAAAAGCAATTTAACAGAACATTAAATTAATTGACAGATGTCACTTCCTGGTTGAAAATTTTTTTTCCAAACTAATGGAAGAAAAATAGAAAGTAATTTTATCATCATTGTCTATTGGTTCGTCTGTCTCTGTCTGTCTTTCTGTCTGTCTGTTTCATTATACTATTGATATTTTTGAATTTAAATTCTTTAAATCCAAAAAAAAAAAATTTAATTTTTTGCGCTGAATTGAAAAATTCAATTAATGATGTATCTTAATTGATTGATAGACAGCTAACATGAACAAAAGTGTTTAAAAAATTCATTCATTCAGTCATTCATCCATTCATTTATCCATCCATCCGTGCTTTCATTCACCAATTCATTTACTCATTCACTCACATAGAACTGACCTGTACTTTATTGAGGACATAACCAGCCATCACCATCCCAAACCCACCAATGATATAAGGGAAGAACACTTCGACTGCAGTTTTTAAAGAATTTTCCGTCGGTTCATCAAACTTTTTTATTATGGTACCAACTGATACCTCGTTCTCTTTTTTGTCTGGGATTTTGTCATCACCATCTTTGTCCAGAAGTGGAGAGGACATTGATTTGTTGTTGTATAACTCATCATCGCCATCCTCATCTTCATCATCTTCATCTCCCAGACCACCATTAACATAGGCTGGGTTGATGTTGTTGATGTTTTAAATCAGTTTTTTTTAGATAATATCACAACAAATTATAAAACATAACGAATCATAAATGTAAAATTTTTATTTAAAAGTGAACTTCTACAGTTTAAAAATAGATCAAGTAACAAAATATACTTACTAAGACTTTTAATTACATCCTTCTGCAGTCCAACAAGTCGATCACTGGCTGGCAGATCAACATAAAATGTACTTCCGCCATTTTTCTTTACATTTGAATCAGTGGGATTAAGTAAGATGATGAGAGAATCTTTCAAATTTTCACCATTATTACCAGCATTAATAATGTTATCGTCAACACAAATGTTAATGCCATTGGTCAATTTTACATCATTTTCATCTGATTCTGAGAGCTCTACTCTGTTGATTAGACGTTGTTTGTCGTCACATTGTTCCATTTCTCGAGTGAACGATTTATTTTTTTATATTTTAATTAATTAAATTTTCAATGCAGTATTTTGTTTGATCTTTGACTGTTTGTTTGTTAAACTGACCAATATAATATTATAATTTTTCTAATTTTTCTATTTTTCTAAATTTTTAAAATTCAAATGCGCGAAATACGCAACTTAATGATTTTAATGATTAATTAATTTAAAATTAATTTTATTAATTCATTCCATTCAATCAATCAATTCAAAGAACACAACTACAATGATGACAATTTCGTCCGCCACAAACTAATTTCAGAAAATAAAAAGTAAAAATCATAAGCTGAATTTTAAAAAATGAAAATTTTCAAAAATTAATTTTAGTAAAAATGAAGTGAATACAGATTTTTGATGTTGAAATGTTTGAAAATTTAATGTTGACATGTGTACATGTTAAAAGTAAACTCGATAATTATATAAAATTTAAAGATCTCTAAAAGTGATGGACAAAATTAAACTTATTTCTCCGTTATATATTGTTCATTTTTATCAATGTTAGACTCAAGTACTTGAAAAAATTATAATTATTATAATTTTTAATTGATTAATTTTACAAATTACCAAAAAATTAAACATTGCCACTGCTTTTAACTCCTATGATATCATAAGAAAGTTTATGAGCCTTAATATTGTATATATTAAAAATTAAATCATTTTCAACGACAAACAGGATCAAACGCAATACAATTCAAAACATTAAATCAAAAACAAACCACCATTTTAAATTTCTCAATTATTTCAAAACAACAAGCCCTATACAATGAAAAAACCAGTTCATAGTGATGACGAACGAGATGGTGAACGAGATGGTGAACGAGATGGTGAACAGATTGAACGGATGTAACGTCAATTATACAACACCATGAGATGACGACGACGACGATGATGATGACAATGATGACAGGAAAACAATTTATAAAAAAAAGCTAAAAAAAATCAAGGTTGCATAACAAGGTACAAACAATCTAATAACGAACGAACTGGACAGTAAGTGAACTTCGTCGCTAATTTTAAAGGTTTAAAAAAGAAAAATAAATAAAAAATAACTTATGCAGAGTACTTGTAAATATATAATTTATCAGCCTACGTGAAGGTAAATTAACTTTTAAAAAATTAATAAGAGACTGAAAATTTATTTTACAATTTATTTTGAGATAACTTTTTAGAATGAGAAGACCAGGTAGACTTAGCCAACAAATTAAACGTAATAAGAGACCCACCAAAGTCTGAATTTGAACTTAAGGTCTACGTAGTTAAAAATATTTTTAAATAAAAGTACTTAACTACCGAATGAATGAATGAAAAAAATCATTAAATCACAATTCTAGCTAAATTTAGGTTAACATTATATAATAAGAACCATGAAAAAGTTATTTAAAAAATTAGGAAATAAGCATTAGAATGAAAAAAAAAATCTTATGTACAAAAGGGAAACAAAAAAAGGTAACAAAGAAAGAAAAAAATGATTTTTTTAAATAATTCCCAAAGCTGCAGATTAACTCTTGAGTGCCTGTAGTCTGGCTTGCATTTTTATCACCTCGTCATCTTCTTCATCGACCTCCTCCGCAGTTTGTTTAACTTTATTTTTATTGGATGGAAGGGGGTCTTTGACAATGTCAGGAGCGTTACCAATTTGTCCTGAGGTGAAAATGATTAATAAAATTAACTAAAGATGTCGCTTATTTTAAATTGCAACAATCGTTAAAAACACAAAAATGAAATGTATAACATCATAATTCTATCTACAAATCAACGCAGATTGCATGCATTAACCAGGGATTTTTTTGCATTCAAACCCATTCACAGCAGCAGCAGTACCAGGCGCATTATCCATTACACCATGCAGCGACCCATATCCCTAAAACACTAAAAACATCAGAACATATGATATAATACAAAATCTAAAGCACCTGCAGTTATCTCCCAGAGCACCTTATCGACTTCCTTCTCCACTTCCTCCTCCATCTCCTCCGTATCATCAGCCTCCATGACGTCATCAATCATCTCCTCAATGATCCCGGCTTTCATCATCTCCTTCGACATGTCCCTCATGGTCCCAGCAATGTCCTGAACTTTGATCAGCTGCTGCATGCTTTTCATCACCTCAACACTTTTCTGTATGGCTCCCGATAATCGGAGAGTGGCTGTGCACGTATGTGTATGATGTTTACATAGAGTTTGTAATCTTTATTTTGATGTGAAAATACTCATTGAAAGTTTCATCAAAAGTTTCAAATAAAAATAAGAGTTGAAAAAAGTAAAGCCAACACAATTGTTGGTTCATATGCATTTCTACTGATTTGATGTTGGCTTTGGCACAGTGTATTCTAGAGATTGCCTTGTTGGATTGAACGATTTCCTTTGCCAGCACCTTACATGAATCCTTCTCTCCCTTCTTGGCCGACATCTTCAAGGCTCTTTTCACTTTTTCCTGCTCTCTCTGGATCCCTTGTTTCATCAAACGGAATTAACATTTCATTTCAAATTGGATGTCTTTATATGGAATTAACATTTTATTTCAAATTGAATGTCTTTAATTTTAATATTAATTCAATTTAATTAAAACAACATAATAAAAAAAATAATAATTTTAATTTAATTAACTTAAATCTTACAACAAGAAAGTCAAACTAAAAAATAGTTTAAAACTTCTCTACTAACTAAATCCTAACTAACTCTAACTAACAAACCTAAAATCTGCCTATCAAGAAGACGACTTTCTTTTCTTAGGGAAGCCTGCCACTCTCTAACCTAAGAATTAAATTGAAATTCATGGTTAAAATTTAAAATTATTAAGAAGTATGTACTGGGAACAAGACATTTTTTATTTCATTTTTTGCTATGTACCCACGCTATGACGTGATTGAATAATAAATGAATGTAAAAAAACTCTTATTCTAAAAAATTTTAAATTTATTATTTTTAATACAAAACCCCTACCCCAGGAATAAATTTAATTATTAAATCAAGATTAAAAGTTAAACAAAATTCTGACCAATTCTTTCGGATCCTTCTGCTTACCAAACAATCCCATGGTTTTCTTCATCAGAAAAAAGTAAAATAAAAATTAAATATAAAGTTTAGGCAGATTTTACGAAAGTTTTTACATAACTTGTAAAAATCCCAAGTGTTGTTTTCGTTTAAATTCACATTTAAATAGAAGGGTGCGACTAATAGGTCAAACATTATTGTACAAACTACGTGACTTGCTTAGATTGTTGGCTTATTTGCTTACATACGAAATTGCATGGGTTTTAACGAGCATGCAATATGAAATATTTACTTAACTTAATAAGTCTAAAACAAGATAATAATTCTATTCAATTCTATTAATAGAAGTCCCTAACCTACCTATGTAACTAAATTACTTTATGCCCTAGCCTACCTATATAATAAATTAATTTTTAATCTCACCTACCTATGTTTCATTAACTTAACTCAAGACTCATGAAGAAAGAGAAAAAGGAGTAAAACAGAACATAAAATACTACTACACAAACAAACATGATGTATGTATGTATGAGCAGCCGCTAAAGAACCCACCTAAAATTAAAAAATACAACATACATACAAACCACAGACAAACATGCAAAGTCTATATAGGCCTATATAACTCTATATAATAAAATAGAAAAATTAATTTAAAAAATAAAATAAGTGAGATCAGATTTCCATGCTGTCTCATCTCCTATTTATACTTGTTTCAACCATACATTCTCATCATTTCAATCATTCCCATCAGTAAAAAACTCATTTAATGTATGTACACAATTATAGTCTTAATAACAATTTTAACCGTACTAAATTGACGTCAACGAACGAACGCCTTCGAAACTTTCTGGTTGGCTGGTTGAGTCTGCTACATTGCTTTTTTATAAACATATAATCTTAATAATTATTTGTATACATGGATATATATATATATATATATATATATATATATATATATAATCACTATAAAAGCAACAGTAATCAGTGATTCGCGTGTACGTACACAGTTCAAATTTTTCGGGGAAAATTCAAAATAGCTTGAAACCACACCGTGCTTAACAGCCAATTAATTCCAAGCCGAAGCAAGCCAAGCTGAGCCAATATGCGTAGATTTGTAAGCGCTTTTATATTAAAATTTTGCTCGCTTTTTATACGAATATCCCCAATATTAAATTCAAAGAAATAACGCAAACGAGTTTTAAAAAAATTTTCAAAATTTAATTAAAATAGAACATATACACAAGTTTTATTTGCCAAGTAATTCCATCCAATCATTTAAACACAAAATTGAACTATCTCGCAATCTATTTCTTTTTATGATTATCAGTTTTCAAGATTTTGAAAAAGCTTGTTTTCTTGGTGTGGAAGTTGAAGGGATACATATCACAAATTATAGAATACCGCTAGCATGACGTCATTTCCTCCAACGATTCCGTAACAACTTCTCCATCCTATTTTAAAAATTTTCTTTGATGCTTTTTAGTCAGTTAGGTCACAATCATCATCATCGATATAGCGATGAAATCAAATTTTTTCAAAATAATTTGAGACTGCACCATAACACAATTGTGTGTGTGTGTGTAGTGTGTGCGTGTATATGCATGTATGATTTTATGATGAAATTATTAAAAATAAATTTAAAAATACCTCAACTAAGAACATATTATAAACGTTAAAAATCTCAAAATCAGTTATAAAGAAATTAATTCAACAATAAACAATGAGATAAAAAGCGAACAAACTCATGTACACACCCACACACGTACAGACACGTACAGACACGTACACGCATCGTATCTGAAAGAAAAAAATTTGAATGTGTTTTTCGTGACTTATCAGGTTATAGATAGGTTATAAAAAATTAATTAAAGGATTTTTTTATGGGTAGATTAATTTCAAATAATTTGTTATCACTACACAGTGTTAATGTACTGCTAGTTGATATGTGTTACATGTGGTGAACGGTGCTCATGTTTTTATATCGCTGAGTAGGAACATTCACACACACACACACACACAAATAAGCACACTCCCATTTACACATACATACAAATGTTTTCAGCTCAGCACAAACGGAACGGACACAAAAGGTTTTTATATAGTAATAGATAGAAAGAGAAAGAAAAAGAAAGGAAGAGAGAAAGGAAGAGAGAGAGAAAGAGAAAGAAGTTTTAGAATATAAAACATAAAAAAAATAATTAAACCGAAACAAAAATAATTTTACTGCCAATCCAAAATGATCTTGAAAATTTAAACTTCAGTTTATAAGGCACGTACATGCTTGCCTTTATATAATTGATGTTATGTGATGTAGTGTGATGATGACACACAAACACAAAAACACACAAACAAACAAACAAACACACTCACATGCATACATACATAAACATATGGAAACGCTCCATTACATTACACAACACATGGTTCACGTACCAGCGTGTTCATTCAACCGAGCCATGACACCTAACAAATTATTCACTGTACTTTTTTTAATACTCTGCTCTCTCTCTCTCTCTCTCTCTCTCTCTCTTTCTCTCTCTTTCTCTCTCTTTCTCTCTCTTTCTCTATCTCTTTCTCTATCTCTTTCTATCTATTAATTTTCCCATTTTTTGTAATTTTGAAAACAATTAATTAATCACGGTAAAACATTATATATATATATATATATATATATATATATATATATATATATATATATATATATATGAAGTTTAATTGCACGTTGCAACATTTATTTTTAGATTTCTACGTCAGCAATTGCCGGCATTTTTTAAAGACTTTTTCACTTTTGGAACTTCCATTCAAGCAAGAACTACACGCCACACGCCACTTTTCTATGCTCCACCAGCCAGAATTAAAGTACTCTGCATGAGTTTGAAACACACCGGCCCAGGAATATGGGAGACGATTCCACAAGAAATTATAGATTGTAACACTTTGCATCTTTTTAAAAATAAACTGAAAAATTTTTTAATTACGAAAAGTTCTGTTTTTCAAGGATAATAATGTATATGTATATATATATGTATATAAGTGTGTACATATTTCATTAACATTGTACATTTTCTCCTATTGACAATTTTATTTTATCATTGAGAAGCTATTTTGCACGGTGGCCGAGCCCACAAGAATTAATTTTCTTTTTTTGGTCTCCGAATCATTCATGCTTTTTGTTTTGTTTGATTGAATAAAAGTGATTTGATTTGATTTGATTAATTACAAAAAAGTAACTGAAACATTTTACACAATCAGCTTATTTTTGCGTGTAGTTGTAATTATATATATATATATATATTTATATATATATATATATCGCGCATTGGTAAACAATGAATAGTGTGTTGTTATATATATATATATACATAAATATATTATATATATATATATATATACATATATATATACAGCATTCTCCACCTCCATTATTCGAGATCTAGATGTGCTTGGGCTGTTTTATTTCAGGTTCTCAATTTTGTTTTCGTTGATTTTTTTTTTTGGTAAATTTAATTGGTTAATTAATTTGCTAATTTGTTACTTAATTATTTTATTTATTCATTTATTCACTTCTAATATATTCTTTCTTTCTTTCATTCACTCATTCATTCGTTAGTTCATTCACGTGGTTGAACAGTTAGAAATAGAGATGAACTGAATTATACGGATTTTAAAATTATTTGTTGAGAAACTAAACAACAAGAACAGCAACAACAATAACAACAACAACAATAGCAACAACAGCAACAACTACAGCAGCAACAACGACAATAACAACAACAACAATAGCAACAACAACAGCAGCAGCAGCAACAACAACAACAACAATGGCAACAACCACAACAACAATATAAACAACAATATTACTACTGCATTTGTTTTATAATTAGTATTAGCGTCAAACAACAACAAAAAACACGACAAACAATGGGGCAAAGTTGCGTAAAATCCACGGACGGTAAGTTTTTCTTTTCAATAATGTTTTAGTTGATTAATTAAATAATTAATTAGTAATAAATTAACTAACCAATCAATTTCTTTTTTACGTTAATTATTTTTCTAGTTATATATCGTTTGTAACATATGAAACATGATGATGTTATGACGGATGTATGGATGTATGTATCATTATTGGATATCATCAATCATTTTTAATGTATTACTAGCGTGATGGTTTTTAACCAGTATCCTGATCATTATCATCATTTTAAACCAGTTTCATCATCATTATCATCATTTTAAACCAGTTTCATCATCATTATCATCATTTTAAACCAGTATCATCATCATTATCATCATTTTAAACCAGTATCATCATCATCATCATCATTTTAAACCAGTTTCATCATCATTATCATCATTTTAAACCAGTTTCATCATCATTATCATCATTTTAAACCAGTATCATCATCATTATCATCATTTTAAACCAGTTTCATCATCATTATCATCATTTTAAACCAGTATCATCATCATTATCATCATTTTAAACCAGTATCATCATCATTATCATCATTTTAAACCAGTATCATCATCATTATCATCATTTTAAACCAGTATCATCATCATTATCATCATTTTAAACCAGTTTCATCATCATTATCATCATTTTAAACCAGTTTCATCATCATTATCATCATTTTAAACCAGTATCATCATCATTATCATCATTTTAAACCAGTTTCATCATCATTATCATCATTTTAAACCAGTTTCATCATCATTATCATCATTTTAAACCAGCATCATCCTCATCGTTATTATTATCATCAACCTTTATGATAATCATTGCGAAAAGTGAATTGAATTTTTCAAAAAAATCGATAGCATAGATAAATAATGCACACACGTGTGTGTGTACGCACATTCATATTTTACGTGTGCACTCCACTGACATACATACATACGTACATACATGAATACATACATACGTACATACATACATACATACATTTTGGTCAGGTGCTAACCCTAACCCACAATTAAAGAAGGGTCTCATGGCGGAAGGTAGCCTCAGGCCCGACGAGTATACTATTTCACCATGGGCGC